TCTGTGCATGTTTGCTGCTAATGTCCTTGATGTTGGTTCTCAGACTTAAGATGGTTGTAGCTACCCATATTTGCTCTGATTTCCTCATATTTTCTGTTGATTAAATGTGGGGGGAGATGTTATTCCCGTGTAACAAAATGCCTGTTCCTTCCCTTTACAGTTCTAATTTGCCAAAAGGAGTTCATTGCACTGATGTTGTGTTTTCTTCTTCAAGTTAATCTCTGCATGAACTTTTTTTTTCCTTTAATTTGATAGTTTTTATCTAAAATAAATATGTGGATGTGCTCCTCTAGTGTTATGGGATGGTATAGTAGTGTAAGTATTAATTTCAGAGAATGATGAGGAAAAGAAACAGTGTAAAAAGAAAACATTTTAGCTATAGTGGTAGTGTCCTTATTTTTTTCCCTTGGATGGATTTCCTTAGATGGGAACAGCTAGAAAATTGATTTCTTATTGATTTCATGATCTTTTTTCCCAGCTCTGCAAATGGCCTTTGTTAAAAGCCACTTTTACCCTCTTCCTTCTTTCTGTTTCTCGGTCTTGTTCTTTGAAACATTGTTCATTTTTCTTAAAGAGGTTCCAAACAGTAGTCAGTCATTGTCACTGCCAACAGATTCCAATTTAAAACCAGCATTTCCTATTCTCCACTTGCAAGAGTTTGTTCAGAGTACTATTTTAATTAAAAAGCACTGATGAGCAAGGCTTAGCATGATTTATAATGTTTTGTGGAGTGCAGGGGTTGTGGCAAAGATTGCTTTTATCATTTTTTGACCCATGATAGTAACTTAATATATTCAAATGGTGCATATTTACACATTGCCTTTGATTCTATTAATGAATAATGTCTGTTCTTTACACGGAGCAATTACAGCTACCAGTGCTGCTCTTTGGATTTATTGCACCTGTGGGCACCATCACTGAGACCACTGCAGGCAGAAGCTCTCTTTAAATGGAAACACTTATAGGTTGGCTTAATAAAGGACTTTATTATTAAGCTCTGAGATTTTAAAGAGTAACTCCATATTCTTTTCAGATGATCTTTGTTGTAACTCCAGCTTTTTTGTTACTTTGGGGGAAGATTCTTAAGCCTGAAGTCGAGGCAGTTGCTCTTGATACCTTCCTGGTGGATACTTCAAATGTTCGGTGATAAATACCTGCAGTTTAAAAGGACTTCAGTATTTTCAGCTCTTTTTTCCCCACATTTCTGTTCAGCATACTTGCTGCCTTTTGATCAGACTAATCTGATAAGAGTTAAGTTTTCTGGGTTATCCTGAAAAGCAGAATAATGAATAACAATGGAAAGGCTTCTGTTCATGGCATGAAGACATGATCTGGTGTGGGCTTTTGGGTTTTGAAGTGGGAGATGGAATATGGGTTCACCAGTAAACTTTCTGATATCTGAGTACATTTAGGAAAAGCTATTCATAGACAGATGCAGTGTGAATAGAGAGGGAAGTCCATTGTGTTACATTTCATAGATTGAAGGAATACAGACACTGTCATCCATGTGAAGAATAATGGCTTTAAATATGAAAGTGAATGCTTTTATAAGTACCTGAAAGATGCCCAAAAATCAGCAGAAAAAATGTAATGAGAAGGTTCTTATGAAAGTATAATTCTTTTGTTATTACATAGAAAGAAATCTGTATAGCAATGCTTGGGCTTAGTAGAATGTACTTAGTACAAAGGTGTACTTCAGTACAGGCTTTCTGTGTGTAAATTCAGTTCTGTCCATTTTTATTATATATGTGTAAAAATGATAGTTATTCTCATTTAAGTTAGCATGGTATTTTATAGCACTGAAATATGCCAGATGGCCAGGGATATTTCATCTAAATACTAAATAAAGTTAAAGAAAACATTCACTGAAGCGACTAGGGGTCTGATTCAGAAAGAAAATACTAAAGTAGCATGAATTTAATTTAAAATTCAAAAAATTCTGTCGCTGTTGACCTTGTTTGTAACCTCCTGAAAGAGGAAGTTTTCAAATACTGCATGACTAAGAGCAAATACTGTCAGACCTAGTTCAGGGAAAGCTCTGAAACATATTTCAGCTGCTCCTGCCTAATTGCTACTTCAAAGGAATTATGCAGAGCAAACATATTTTGGAATTTGAATATCTTATTTCTTAACAGACCAAGCTATTGAGAGCAAACCCATTTTATTTTTGGATCATGTTGCACATATTTATCTTGTTTTTAGTGTAAACTTTGGGGTTTATAGCTGTAAATATTAGGGAAAAATTCTTTCCTGTGAGGGTGGTGAGGCTCTGGCACAGACTGCCCAGCAAAGCTGTGGCTGCCCCATCCCTGTAAGTGTTCAAGGCCAGGTTGGATGGGGCTCTCAGCAACCTGGTCTAGTCTGGACACATGGAAGGTGTCCCCGTCCACAACAGAGGATGGGACAAAATGATAATTAATGTCCCTTCCAATCCAAACCATTCAGTGATTCTATGAAATACATCAATAAAAGATAATAGATCTATTTAAGTAGATTACTATAATCTCAAAAGCCCAGGCTGACAATTTTAATTCTGACAGGAGTCCCACATATAAACCACAAACCAGATATCTTTCCATACAAGGCTTCTAAGAACCACCATCAGCAATATCATAGTGCAGGGCTTAATTTCAGCAGTTGTCAGGTTATTAACACATGGAGTGGTGAACAGTGATGAATCCTGGGCAAAACTTCTCTTGAAGACAAGTGCTAATTAAAGAAATAGTGCAGTCTGATACAGAATGGACTTCCCCCAAATTTTCCTTCTGTTCTGCTGAACATCTTATGAAGGATCTTCTCTATCCAAATTTATTTTGTTCTTCTGTTTTCAAGAAGTCATAGAAACACCATAACTTCAAAACAGTCTCTTGCCATCTTTCTTTCATGATCCATTTTTTCAGTGAAATACCTAATATAAATATGAATGAGAGGACTGATTGCTCAACAGGTCTCTAATGATTCCTTAGGCGCAAAGCTTTCCTTACACATTAAAAGGTTAATTTCAGTCCTCCACTGTTATTTGTTGACATTGCTGGATGTGCCCAGTTTGAACTTTGGAAGGGATGTGGAAGGGATTTGGAAGTTTTAAGGATGGCTAGTTCACATTTGGGAGAGTCTATGAGAGGAGACCAAATGTCATGTAAATGTTCTGGAACAGAGCAAAGAAATTGGCTCAGGCAGCTTCTGCTGTTGGTCAGGATCTGTATTGTTAACAGATGTCTGTGTATTGCATCAATAAGTAATAAAATGCCTGTTTGGAATAACTGCCAGGAGGCAGTGGGGTTGAGGTTTAGTCTGTGGCTTATCAAGAAGAGCCTTATCTGATGGGCAAAAAAATCCTAAGAGTCTATTTTAATTTTTAGTTTCAGGGCAGTGAATTACTGAAAGACAAAATACATTTCCTTTTTTGAGTGACTATTTATTCATGGATCCCCATGCAACTGACAGTTGAAAGAATCCTAGTTTCTTCTTCCAAACCACTAAATAAACTCACTCAACTGTGCTGGCAAATGTTCACAGACACCGTTCTCCTAATCACTGCTGGGAAACAATCATGTGCACTGATCTAGCAGTGCTGAAGCCCTATTGATAGGCAGGTTGCCTGTTTTCCAAAGAAGCAATTTCAAATGGCTGGAAAACTTGCTAAACACTCATAGGAAATTAGGTTTTCTGTCAGTTGTTTTGAGGATGTCACTGCCTTCTGCTGTAGCAAGCTGTCAGATTCCCATCATTGGAAATGTTTTCTACCAGAGTTAGACAATCCATCATTTGTCGTTCCTACCTAAATTGATTGATACTGATTGTTGGTTTTGTTCTCTGTCACTGCTGAAAGATCCTTAAACATTCCATTTGTTAAAATGTTGGTTCTTTCATGAGGCTTTATCCTTTAATTGCCAGGGCTGGATGCACACTTATTCAGAAAACACCATTTATATATATATGTATGTGTATATATATGTATATGTAGGTATAGATATACATATATATAAAAATATATATGTGTATACATATAAAATATATGTATATATATTTCTGTATATATGTATATGAAGAATGATCCCCCAGTCTTCAACGTGTCTTCTCATTAGTTCATTCTTATCTGGCAACATACTCCTAAATATCCACTGAGGTTTTTGGCATATTTAGACAGGATTTAGATATTAGGATATCCTAGGAATCCGTGCAGTTGATGTGCCATTTCTGCTTTTCCTGTGTTTAACTCACTTAGGTGTATTAATTGGACAAAACAGTAAATTGATGACAGTTCTTCAGATTTGTATAGCTCATTCTTTGTGAAAACACATAATCACTGTCACTTGTTTTTATCTTAAACTTCTGTATGGCTGGGGTCAGTAGTTTCTTCAAATTGGGGTTGAAATACAATACTGTTTTGAGAAGAGTGTTACATTGTGTACTTAAATAGTGTGACTAATATGGAGAGAAGTAAGAAATCCTTACTTATAGTTTCTTGTTCAGTGCTAAACTCCCACAAGTTGAAGTGTTTTCAGAGGGCATTCAGAGTAGTAAAATTATCATTCTTGCTAGTCTTATCTCTAGGGAAGTTCTTTCCTATCCAAAGTTACACAGAACTGAATTTATTGTCCAGAAATAAGTCAGCTACCTAAATCAATTGTAAAATATTTATTTAGATGTTTTGACTCCTGAGATGCTTCCCGGAGCTTTCTTGAAGATCAGTAGCTCACTCAAACTCAAGAACATGGAGACATGAAATGCTTGTACTGTCATCTGCACAAGCCAGTGTTAACTAAAAAGCAAATCTTCCCAAGGCACATTGCCAATAGCTTAAAATACCTTTAAAGAAATGATGATCTAAGATGTATAGGTAGGAGGGATCTCAGTATTCAGATTTTCCATTTCATGTTGTTCAAATGTTATACATATATTTCAGGAGAGTGTTGTCTTTGACATATAGAACTGGGTTACTGCTGTGTTTCTGGAGAGTGCTTGAAGTTAATATTGCATCTTTTGTGTCATTTCAGGAGTATGATGATGGCTATGGAGCTGCTTATGATGAACAAAGCTATGATTCCTATGATAACAGCTATAGCACTCAAGCACAAAGGTAAGTCCCAAATCAACTGTAACTGCATTTGAAAAATTCTGTGGTTGGCCAGTTAATTTTACTTAGAGTTTTCCAATTTCATCATAAACAGCAAAAATTTTATTAAAAGATTTTAAAAATAACCTCCAGGTTACTTGTCTTTAATATTACATAAGTACAAAAGTTAAATTTGTGAGAGGCTGAAAAGAAACAGAATTGAGAACTTGTACCAGTTTTAGTGATGCCAAATCCTAAATCAAAGTTTTCAAAAGTTCCAAAAATTCAGGGAAATTTAGTTCAGATTTGTAGTGGGAGGAAGGAGTGGATAAGGAAGGGGAGAGGAAAAAAAAAATACAACTTTATAGAAGGTATTAACTTTTCTGAAACACAACTGGATAAATTTTCTTACTACTTTTGCAAAGTTATATTCAAGTATTTTACCTGTATTTGACTGTAAAAAAATACACCTGTCAGTTTGCTTTACTCCTCTGGAACTCCTTGTGACAAATTTGAATCTCTTGCCATTTGTTTTCCTTCTCCCACTTCATTGTCAGTACTATTTTTAACCATTTTGATTTTTTTTTTTTAATTTTGCTTTCTTAAAGGAGTCATTATTTTGCAACTCCATGAATAACAATATGACTCAACAATGGGAAACATGCTGTGAAGTAAAACTACTTCTTTTATGTGGTTTGAACTTCATGGCAAAAATCTCATTACAAATATAGCAGCTTGGATGATCATCTCCACTTCTGGAAACAGAACTTCTGTCCACATTTTACTGAGCTGTAATTTATTTTCATTCCTTTTCTCTCAGACCAAGCATTCATAATTTGCTCAGTAGTAGATGTTTTAATGTTTTTGACAATGTCCTGAAATTCTATGGCAAAGTTATGACTTGCCTCTGAGGTAGGGTTACTGAGGTTCCTGTTGATGAATCCCTTGCAGTGAATTAAACTGAAAAATGTATTTGATGCAGAGTTCTTTTACCTTCTGCTAAATATGTAAAATTTACAATGCAGCTTTATCTGAAATAGTACAGAATTGTTCATAGCAAAGTTGAGAACAAAGCTGTTTACACAAGGCATCTGCTCTGCTGTAGTGTTGTCACACCCAGTTTCAGTTTTGTTGTGTAAATGAATATTTTTCTGTGCTTAACAGCTTGGTCAATGTGAAAAAGCATAGTGGAAAGTTCAAGTGCCATTATTGTTGAAAGCTACAATAATGAAATTACCTTTGTGTCTGATACTTGGCTCCTACAGACTCTAAGCTTGATAAAAATATGACTTAAGAAACGTGCAGCGTAGAAACTTCAAAATACGAGACTCTGTAGAGTGTTACATTTTGAGAACAGTTGCTGGTAATGGATTTTTTTTTCCCCAAAAGACAATTGCCAAAGTAGTCCTCAGTTTTCATGTTGGCAATTCTGTTCTGCCTTCTTGCTTGTGCTGTAGGTAAATGGGTTTATTGCACACAAACATTTGGACTTCATTACAAAGTCATTTGCCTGATTCAAAATTAAACATTACTTGGGTTTGATTTCTTTTTTTCCCCACATTAAGAAGGTTTTCACTGAGATTTTCTTCCTTTGAACTAAAATTAGGAAAAAAGCAAATCTCCCAAGGAATGAAATTGCTCTTGTAAACGAGTAATAGATAAGAAGAGTATATATAATATTCTTAGATACGTTTGCATGTGCTTGGCTGTCTAGAAGGAGATACTTCATAAAATGGTTGCTTTACTTTGTATTTTGCCTGTAGTTTCACAAAATACATATTGTTAGATTATAACAAATTTGTTACCTTCTTAATGATTATTTGACATTTATTCCCTTATTTTATTTAGTGCTCTGTGGAAAAAGAAAACAAGAAATTTTTCACTTGCACTTTTCTCACAGGATATCCACACTCATTTTCTGGCATATTTTCTGGCTTGGCAGAAAGATTTTTAGGATAGTATTGGCAGGCAAAAAATAACAACTATAAACAGCTATCTGAGCCACCTAGACCAGCATTCCTATCTTTATTCTGAAAATCAAATAGTAGCCCATATTGCAAAATATCCTTCTGTAAACAAAATGAGATACTTATCATATTTAAGAGCATTACAATGCCCTTACTATGAAGGAAATTAGGCAAAGTGTATTGTTTTCATAGTTTAGCCTTATTTATTCTTGATTTTTTGCCCTCATAAAAAATTGAAAGAGACTGCATTTGCACATGGAGAGCAGTGATGTGTTTAAAATGCATAATTTGGTGACCAGCATGTGGAAATAACTTACCCTTTCTTTTTCTAAGTTGAAAATAGTTTGAATAGTATTTCTAGTATTTCTTCTGATACTGATTCCTCTAGAAATACTGTGATATTATTGATGCTGTGTATTAAAGAGGAAATCTGAGAAATAGGTAGTAAACTGAAAATGAGTTGTCTCATTAAATTACTTGCAGTGGTTTTTAGTACATGACTAAGTTTGAGTGCAGGAACAGGGCTTAATGCTCACAAGTGTATAGTGATGATATTTGATATGGCAGTAACAGCTAAAATTTTCATTTTTGTTTTAAATATTTGGCTTATTTAGTGATTCCTCTGTTAAAGATAGAAACTTGCAATAGAATCTAAAATATATTTAGGAATTTTGGAGGTCTCTAAGAGGTTGCTCAACAGCAAATCTTTTGCTCTAAGTGCACAGGAGTGCATTCTCCCAATTCAGTCTTCAGCACCACACAGTGTGACTCTCCTTTATTGCTCTTTTAATCTGGACATTTCAAGTGTATTTCCCATAAATGGCCAAATCTGAGCTGGATTAGGTTGAATGACATGTTTAGATATGAAGAATAGGAAACTGTGTATTTCTGTGGGCATTAAGGTAGTTGAGACTTTGTTCTGTAAATAACGTATTCCATTCTATGTACTACTTTCTTGCTGACACCAAATCATGAGTGGTTAGAAGTTTAATGGTATTTTATTTGACATTGTGTGAATCCTTCCTTGTGCCTGGCAAGCTGAAGTTTAAGTTAAAATCTGCCACAGCACTAACAAGAGAGAGAAACATGAGGATTTTGAGTTATCTATCTTAATGCCCTGTAATCCTATAAAAAAAATGTTGTTTTCCTTTAGAACATTTTATTATCCACTGTTGCTTGTTCATGGAACAAAGCCCCAAATAGTGCTTCAGGATGTCCTTTAACAGAATTATTTTTTATGGTGGAAAAGACTTAAAACATCCCTTGAAGCTGTACTGTGTTTTACTAGATATCTAATTGATTTTTAGAAGATTAAATTACATGTATAGTTTTTTGCAGAGGGATTGTTAGATAATTTTATCACTATAAACTGGGATGTTTAATAAACTGGATTGTTTAGTCTTGTTATAAAAACCTAGAACAATCTAAATTTTTTTTTAAAAAATTTCACTTTCTGAAAATCAGAGTAGCAAATTCTTCATAGAATCATAGAATAGTTTGAGTTGGAAAGGACCTCAAAGATCTTTTAGTTCCAACTCTCTGCCATGGGCAGGAATAACATCCAGTAGACCAGGGTGCTCCAAGCTCCATCCAGCCTGGTCTTGAACACTTCTAGGGGTGGAGCATTCCCAAATTCTCCAGACAGCCTCTGCCAGTGCCTCACCCACCCTCACAGTAAAGAATTTCATTCTAGTAGCTAATCTAGATCTCTCCTGTTTTAGTTTAAAGCCATATCCTCTTCTCCTATCACTTCATGCCCCAATATGCAGTGAGTCTTAAAGGTTACATGATGTGCAGTCAAGGGCATGTTATGTAATCAGGAATTCCTTCATAAAATTTATCCTTCATACATATTTATTAATTTCATATGTGCAGTTGTGTGCCAAAAGCCTTGCCAGGATCTTGTGGTAAAATATGAATTAGAGTTGTGAAAGCCAAACTTGTGACTCCTGGTGCTGATATTCGCCTATGTCAGACACATGTAGATTTGTCACTAGCATGTATGCATGCTTACACAACTTAGCTCACTCTTAAAGGACTTCCCAAGCCTGTCTAGAACTGTAATTATTTACTTGGATTTATTGCAAAAAGTTGGGGGTGCTTTAATGGCCTGGTGTTCATGCTAGACCAATTTTATTATGAAATTTCAGCTTATAGTATTGTGGAGAGATCAAGAGGATTTAGTTGAATCTTCATTTAAAACTGTAGTTTAGACATTTTCAGCATGAAAAAAACCTAGTTATTTTAAATCTCTGAAATAGGCTTCAAATTGAGCCAAAGTGCTTTTGGTCCCTCGGTGACTCTGTACACGATCTGCACAAGTGTTTGCCAGGACAATAAGGAAATGCGAGGCAAAGGGAAATGGATGCTAATAAATCAATTGTCTCTGTCAGCTCCCTGTTTAATGTTCTCTAGAATACATAAGATTTATCACTGAGGAATTGTAGAATAATGGTGGTGTATGGAAACAAAGTCCACCAGGGAGATGTACTACATCATTTGGATTTAGGGCTGCCATCTGCTTAATGGCATTGAGATGACTACAGAGGTACTTATGATCAACCATTCATAGCAGTGACAGATGCTGCAGAGAGTTAACATGCCAGGCAATGAGGTTTGGTGCTGAAATCCAGATTATGTGGCAAGGTTGCTGAGAAAGGGGGGGCTGGGTTTCTTACCTCTCCAGTAGCATTAGAGGGTTTACTGTGTGATTTTAGGTTTACTGTCAAGAGATGATGGCTAATACAGTTACTGTAGTCCAAAAAAGAATTTGGACAAACCCCATCTGTCTGCTTCATGCACTCAGAAGTTTCAAAGAACTTCTTTAGGCTTGTTTGCTAGCATTTAAAATGGGATAGTTTTCCTAGAAAAAAAGGAGAAGGTTTTTCTAGATTTATTTTCAGCCTACAACAGAGATCAGAAGCCTAAACTATAAGAGGAACACTCTGTGTACCTGTGTCCCACTGTCTGGTGAGGGACAAGAATGAATCATTTATGTATCAATGTCATTTTGTGTTTAATTATAATTCATAATTTTAAAAGTATTTTAGATCTTCA